CCCCGCCGGCTCGTCCCATTCATCCTCTCCCGGTTGTGCCCCTCCCGCCGGCTTGTCCCATTCATACTCTCCCGGTTGTGCCCCTCCCGCTGGCTTGTCCCATTCATACTCTCCCGGTTGTGCCCCCCCCCAGCACTAGCATCTAGTCCGTCTTTTCCCCAGGTGGAGCCCTTGATCCATTTCCATCCTCTCCCCCTGCATCCCTCCTTCCCGTCAGCAGCTCCCCACGAGGGTCCCGGCCCCCCTGGCGGAATCACCCGCCCCTGTTGCTGACAGCCAGGTGTGCTGTTAGTGCGCGAGGCCCCAGTGTTCAGTTCGGGGGGTTCTGTTGCCTGCAGGACTCCCCGCCGTGGGAATCAGTGGGAGTGTTTGTTTCCCCGGCTCCGCCTCCTTACAGGAGCAGGGGACAAGGGCAGGAGGGGACTTAACTCCCTTTGCCTCTGATGTTCTAGGGCGAAGCTGGATCCCCTGGTGAGAACGGCTCTCCCGGGCCCATGGTGAGTTCTGGATGGTTATGTTTGTGATCGCAGAGCCTGGGGGTGGGCGGGGTTGTGCTGGGCTCTGCACCAGCCTCAGCCGAGATCAGGGCCCCGCTGTGCCACACACACAGCAGAGCTCACGTCCCAGGCAGGCAAAGGGGTGGGGGGATGGGCAGGGATTTGCCCAGGGGACGATGTCCCCAAACACATGGGGAAGCGAGAGCAGCCCTGAGGCTGCTGTAATTTATCCCGGGGCACAGAGAGTGCGAAGGGGACTCGGTGCAGGAGCAGAGGAGCTGGGGGTTGGGCTTAGCTGGGTGGCTTTGGTGCACCCCTAGCGCTGGTTCGGGTGTAACTACCGGCGCTCGAGGCTTGTGACCAGAGGGCTGTACTGAGACATGCCCCATCGTCTTCATTGCTGTTTGACAGGGGCCCCGCGGTCTCCCAGGTGAAAGAGGACGTCCGGGCTCATCCGGGGCGGCTGTGAGTATTAACGTTTCCTTCCAGACTGTCTGCTCTTCCCCCCCCTGCAGCCCCATGCTGCCCAGCAAGGGGCACAACAAACCGGGGCAATAATAGGAGCCTACGAGCATCTTGATACTTCCCTGCAAATCCCCCCTGCAAAATACCCTCTGCTCCCGCCCAGGGACGGGGCCGTGTGCACCACCCCCTGCCTTGGAGTGCGGTGGGGAATGATTCTCGCCCCTCTGGGATATTCGACCCCACGATCTGGTTTTCCCCTTTCATCCAAGGAGTCCCTGGCGGTGGTCGCAAGACCCTAAAACGCAGCCATTTGCTTGCAGAGGGTTTGCTCTGGGGGGGAGGCCAACAGAAACGTGTAAGAAATCGGACGTGTCGTGGGGAGATTGCAGGAAAATACATTTCCCGTTGAAAAAATATTCCAGTGGGAAAAGTGCAATTGGCACTAATCAGAGCTCCCCTCCCCTCGCCCCCTGGACAGCACTAATGCCAGGGCACCTCTTGTGCCCCCAGCGCGGGAGAAACTCTGTGATGCTTTAGACCAGAGCAGAATCCCAGCCAGGCCCAGAATCCCAGCCAGGCAGATATCGTCTGCATCCCCAGGGACGCCTCTTGGCTTTCCGAAGGGCTCAGCTCCCACGCGGCAGTGAAAGGAGCCCTGGTTTGTCTAACACTCCGGGCAGGCCGGGCGCGTGTTGGCTGCCGAGCACGCGTCAAAATCTGGCCTGGCCCTGCCCCTCCGTTAGTGTCGCTTGCTTGCCAAGAGCCCGCCTCCTCGGTCGGTTATTCGCCTTGAAATCCCCCCGCCAGTGGCGTACTCAGGACAGCCAGCCCTCCAACCGTG